AGTTGTTTTCATATTAATTCTAAAAAACATCACATTACCATGTTTATAGTGTGGCTCAATTTTAAATTGGTTATTTTCTTTATGGCATATCACTAGTCATTATTGTTTTTGTACTTTACACAGGCCAATGGTTTATTGAACAGTTTCATAGAAGATTCAAGAATGGAGTCCCTTGGACTTGTGGTTGTAGATGAGGTAAAAATGTAAATCAAGAATTCATTTATTAAAAAAATATGAAACAGACTACATACCAAGCTATGTATTCATCCAATGATTGGTTTAGTCTTTAGAAACAAAAGAAACAGCAAATGACAACTAAGACTGCAATAGAAACTATGAATTTACCTAAAAGTTTATAGCTATAGAGTAGGAATAATGGTAAAGTAATGCTGACCTTATATCATAATTTGTAGCTTCATATGATTGGTGAGGGAGGAAGAAGAGGTGCAGTTCTTGAGATGTGCCTTACTAAGCTGGTGTATACTTCAGGTAATTCTAGTTTGTTTTTTTTTGTATTGACAAACAGATTGGTCCAAAAACAAACAAGCAAACAAAGATAAATTTTCCAGCTGAAGCAACSCCATTCCAAACTGCCAGATTTTTACTAACATTCTGAAAGTATTTTTTATGGTTTTGTATATGAGATCATCGATCCCGTTATGGTGGTTATGGATCTTTCCCTGGATACAATAACAGCAATGTATTTTTGAGGAAGTGGAAATTAGATCTGATATATACAATCATGAGCATGTAGTCTAATGAATCAGAAAGTAAAATTTTCACTTTTATAACTGCTGTAATTTTCTTTGTTTCCAGTTCACATTCAAGTTATAGGAATGAGTGCAACCTTGAGTAACATCAAAGACCTGCAGCAGTTTCTAAAGGCTGATGTGTATACAAATGATTTCAGACCGGTAGGGAGGAATTCCATCAGTATTTCATGTTGCTAGTGACATATCCACTTCAACTTACTAAAAAAATAATCATTTGTTTAAGGTTGAGCTGCAAGAATATGTGAAATTGGAGAACAAAATATATCAAGTTGTTGATAATGAAGTCAGTAGTGAACCTATAAAATGTCTACCAGTGCAGGTACAATCCAACAAGCCTTTGATTGTATTCAGACTAGCAATAGCTCCTAAGAGCTCTCTAAACACGTCTTAGGCAGTAAGAGCTTACTTTTTCTTTTCTTTTTTTTTTTAATGCAGTCTAACAAGAAGAGAAACCAGAAAGATCCTGACAATCTTGTTTTGTTAGTGACTGAAGTCATTCCAAACCACTCCTGCCTTGTTTTCTGCTCAACAAAACGAAACTGTGAAAATGTTGCCATGTTGTTAATAGAATTTATGTCAAGGTAAATTTTTTTTCTATAGGGGCATTATTTCACTTATAAACAATTCAGCTGGCTTTACAGTTAATTTGGGACATACATGCTGTACATTGCAGAGATTTATGCAAGATAAAGACGAAGGAGAGAAAAGACCTGCAAAAGGCTCTATATAACCAAGCTAATGGGCTTTGTCCAGTTCTAAAGCGTACAGTACCATATGGTGTTGCATACCATCACAGTGGACTGACAGCTGATGAGAGAAAACTAATAGAAGATTCGTACAGTAAGGGAACCCTGTGTGTTCTTACTTGTACTTCAACTCTCGCTGCAGGTGTGAATCTACCTGCTAAAAGGTAAATGATGCAGAAAATAAGGAAGAAGTACACCAATGTTAGATTTCCAAGTATTTAAGAAGCCCCCCTGATTGATAGGTTTCCTTTTTTGCAATAAACCATCTGACAAATGAAAAAGATCCTTAGTCAAGCGACCTCTTTTAAAACTGAATAATACATAATATACTGGTACAATAACTACAATGGAAGCTGCTGATATATACTGTATGACATCCATCAAGTTGATGTTTCCCAGCCTATATCCTCCTGAGTTTTGAGTTTTGTAATAAAGCAACATTGAAGCTTTCATTACATGTACATCAGTTTAAACTACAAGTGATATAGAATAAGATTTTTATTCATTTTGTAGGGTTATTCTACGAGCCCCATATGTTGGCAGTAATGTCATATCACGCAGTCAGTACAAACAGATGATTGGTCGTGCGGGTAGAGCTGGTATTGATACATCTGGAGACAGTATTCTGATTCTTAAAGAGAAAGACAAATACAAGGTTTGTTGCTCCTGATTGAATGATTAACCATTAAACCATATCTCTAAAACCAAAGTGCTTGTTAACATGTGACATACTGGACCGTCTGTATCGAAGTTAGAAGCATAGTATGTTAGTTAGGATTGATGTGGAGGATGTCTACCACCTGCACATTCAAACCTGTAGCAGGATACCTAGCCAAACTGAAGATAGATGAAGTGTAACCAATGAAAATAAAGATTGAGATGTATAGTTTTTGCATTTTAGGTTGGAAGTATTTTCAGTGGACCATATGACAGTTGTAGGAGCAGTCTGCTTTATGAAGAGAGCAAAGGAGTCCGTCTGTTAATTCTCAGCTTGCTTGGGTTGAAGGTAAAAAGAACATGATTTATACATAATATATTGTCCTTTGTACAATAAAATGTAAGCAAATATACAAGTTAGCCAAAAAAAAAGGGGAAAAAACAATGATAAAACGAAAGCAAAGAAAACAGCTTTATATTGCTCAGAAAATTTATTAAAAAAGAAAAAAAAAACAAATTCCTAAAAAAAAACCAGTTGAAATTGCAATGTTATGAAATACTGTTTATCTACCATATTGCAATGTTATGAAATACTGTTTATCTATCATATTGCAATGTTATGATATTCTGTTTATCTACCATATTTTGAATAGATTTGTGAAACTCAAGTGGAGCTAGTGTCAGCAATAGAAAGCACTTTGATGTCCATCCAGTCAGATAGTAAAGAGTTTACCAAAGACTGTACCATCAATGCTATTGAAACACTGGTAAACTTGGGCCACATCACACAGAAATTGAAAGATAAWGACATCGTTATTAGCATAACAAATCTAGGCCATGCCACATATAAAGGTACATGTGTTTATATTACTGTTATGTGCATTGCTACATGTACATGACCGTCCATGTAAGACTTTTCATTCGCAATTTGCATTCTGTATCTACTGTCAATCAACTAAAAGCTGCTTTAGCAACAATCTCTGGTTTGTCTGAAAATTTCGATTAACAACAGTCAGCAGTCTATCATGGATGGTGGAACCAGGGGGGGGGATTAATTTGGTTAGGGAGCCAGGCCATCATTAAATAKCTAACCTGACTTTTCACTATACATTTTCACAGTGCCCCCCCCCCCTTCCCAATACTTTTTGTCCTATAGCTTATTGCAGAATTATGCTGWTCAAGGTGCTTGTTACTGTACCCCRCAATRCAGCCATATYAATTGTTAACCTGAACATGGAACTGTTTCTTTTCTCAGGTTGTCTTGATGTTGACACTACTCCATCTATATACGTTGGTATACAACAGGCGTTAGAGGGATTAGTACTTGTCAATGAACTWCATTTACTGTATCTTGTTACACCCCATGATTTAAGTATCCCATGTGAAATTGATTGGATGGTCTATCAGAAAATGGTAACCCTGAAAAAATTTTTCTTATCAATGTTGTGTTAATCATGTTAGCCTTCTTCAGCTTCTCTCACGCTTTCTGCACAAAAATATATGTTGTAGTTCAGGTTCAATATGATTTTGAACCAGTTCAATTTCTTCTGATGATAGATAGAAAATTGGAGAGATTGGGTTATAGTTCTTTTAGTTCTTGAATGCCAAAAGCAAAAAAAAAGACCAGTACAAGAAGTCTTGTACTGGAACAAATTAGATTAAACTGGTTCAAAAATATATTGAACCTGAACTACAACATATATATTAAAATACTTGTGTTACATGTAAGTTGAATGTAGCAATAAAACAGTTTTTGTATAAGATATTGCCAAATATTGTCACATATACATGTACATGCTTATTGAC